TGCCTTCGGATGAGTCCGTTGAGCCGAGTGGCCTGTACCCAGAGCTTGTTGGATGCCTCATGTGACCTGATGACTGGCACACGACCTGACCTAGCATACCTCTTAGCATCTTGGCACGCTATGTGCTCCTGGGAGACACCGACAGAGCACATGGCTGCCGCGAAGAGGGTGTTGCGCTACTTGTGCAGTACGTCGGGCATGGGGCTAGTGCTTGGAGGGCGACGTCCAGTGGTCCTCACAGGTCACGCAGACGCTTCTTGGGCTGACGACCAGGCTACGCAGCGGTCGTCACAGGGTTACACCTTCAGCTTGGCTCGGGCTGTGTTTCGTAGCGGTCTACCCGCTTGTTTTCTGTTCTCGGCTCAGCTGTGAGGCTGAGATCTACGCGGGGGCCATGGCGGCACGAGAGCTACGCTGGCTCACCTACCTGCTGACTGACCTAGGAGAGCCGCCTCGTTCTCCTCCAGTTCAATAAGTAGACAACAAGGCCATGATGTCCTTGTGTGTCGAGAGTACAGGCTGGAGCACAGAACGAAGCACATTGCTCTTCGCTACTTCCTTGCTCGTGAGCTGCAGCAGCGTGGTCAGCTGCGCCTTGCTTACGTGCCTCTGATGCCAACACTGCTGATATCTTTACCAAGGCACTTCCGTCTTGTGATCATCAGCGCTTTTGTACGATGCTAGGTCTTGTGCCTACTTGGCCTCACTTGCTCACTTCTTGACTTTGCTTGTACTGTGAACCATATATCCCTGCACTTGCATGCTTACCCTTGCTAGGTTGAGATCATTGTCTTGTTTGTTCATCTTGATATATAACTCTGCATGTGAACTGGCCTTGTGGCCTTGTGATTATGCTCAGATTGTGTGGTGATGTTGTGATCCACCCTGAGCTTGCCTGCTTGCTTGACTGGTCTTGTGACCTCTTGTTCTCCCCACTTTGCCTATGGGGTGTGTGTCAAACTTATATGCTATAGTCTGTGTAGGCTGTAGTGGGGTAGCTCATATGGGGTACAACACTTTAGGGTTTCCTACTTGTACTCCTCATGCTGCTCAATGCAATCATTCCTCATTTTCTCGCACCTTGTTCTTCCCCACTTTGCCTATGGGGGTATGTCAAACATATATATGGCTTAGGTTATTGTCTAGGCTGTAGTGGGGTTGACAATAAGGGGTACACCAGTTTAGGGTTGCCTTTTTGTACCAAAATCCTCTAGTCATTCATTCCTGCCTAGCGTTCTGACAAAGAGTGCGACGGCTTTCTCAAAATATGTCTGCTCTATCGAGAATTATGCTAACTCGTTTGTTTCTACTGAACTTTCTCGTTCTTCCGTCGTGCAGGGAGCTCGGGATTATCTGGACTGCCGACGGCGTTGACCACAAACTTCGCCTTGCGGCGCGTGGCGGAAAGCGGCAAGAGCGCTGCGACGGGTTTATGAAGGCCATTGAGATCGACGCCAAGATGATCCCCCGCATGTAGCTCGGCGACGTGGTTACAGCACTGGTAGACCCGCGATCGAATTTCACGCGCACGAAATGTAGGGGCCGATCGCCATGGATTACTACCTTCTAACCATCGACGGTCTCGTGGCGCTCGATTTGAGGCTCCGCGTCGCACACCCGAAGCTGCAGACGCCGTTCAGACGCGGAGGTGCATCTGAATGTCGGGATCGCGGAGTTGGAGCGCACGGTACGATATTCACGGCGTGCTCGGGCAGACCTACCGCGAGGACCATGCCCAACGCGCGGCGGATTTCCAACGGCTTATTGCGACGCTTAACCACCCAATTACCGCGGATGGCGCTCTGAGGGAGAGGGTGTTCCTGGGATAGTACTCCGAGGTCGTACGATGGCGAGCCGTGTGCTCGCGGTTGACTGCGCGTACACTGCTTTTGACCGTGCCCAGTACGTCATGCTCGTGTCTCGGTTTCCGTTAATGCGGCGACGTGCTGCTGGGTGTATTGTATGGTGGGCTGCGTTTTGTTGAGGGAATGTCTGGTGTGATACGCTGAAATGTATTGGTATGGTGCTGATTGTGTGGTGCTGTGGCTGCTCTGGTGTGGTGTGCTTGTCCGTCTTGGCGAATGCCCTGGTGTGCTCTCTCTGGTGGGCTGATTGATATGTTGTAGTCTCTCATGTTGGCCTGAATGTTGTCACCGGCATTCGTTTGGTTATCCCGTTGTGTGTATAGTGTGGTGGGCTTCTTTCTTTCTTGCTAGCTTTTAGTCCACTGGTTGCTGTTTATTTCCCTTTTTCCGGTGGGCTGATACTATTTGTTCATTATTTTGTTATTGGTGGGCTGTAATAATTCTTTTGATATATGACCTTTCATGATGAACTGTGTGGAAAATGCTACCATCGAATCAAGTCACAACACTTTTGCAATGGTGTCAGCCTTCGCACCGAAACCCAACCATTGGGCTTGCGATGTTCGTGAATGAGTGAGTGCACGATCGCCAACCTTGAATGCACGCTCACACCTCCAAAAACGCAATTGGAAAGCAGATTTAATCTACAGTACCACCTTCAACCCAAGCCAACCTTGAAGCTGTCAAGAAGCGAACAATGCTGACCATCTGCACAGAATTCGTCAGTTTCGTGCGCAGACATGTTGATTTCGTCAGCCGGTAACAGGTGTCGCCCGCAGCCTATGCTGCACATGCGTGCGTCACCACAGCATATGCAACTTAGCGAACCCAGGCAGCTGACCACAGCCTGTGCAGCAAACACAGCACATGATGATATTGTTGTGACCCCAAGTACCATCAGCGCTGCTAATTGTCACAACAACATATGCTGATTGTTAAAACCCCACGCTGATGTTGTTACCATCAGCGCTGACAGTTTGGCACATCTTATTCCACAGCAATATCACGTGCTGACTTTTTCGCGTTCGGCACCTTCTCAACGCGACGCCGTTGCGATGCGCGAATGCTCAAGAACAGATGCTTCTGAGCGCAAAAATCCGTAGTGTGCCAACGTTTTTACGCCTCCCGTACGGATTTCGAATTACGTAGTCACCTCGCTATTGACTCAAGGAACGCCTGTAACCCTGTCACTGTCACTACACTGTCACTCTACTCGCGGTTAGCACTGCTGCCGCTCTGGAACGATCGAACTACGAAAAGCCGGTACGTTACCTGTAATGCCCAAGGCAATGCGTTACTTTACCCGTTCGTTTCTTCCACATCGACCTAAAATCACCTTGCGCTTTTCCCTCCCTGCGCCGTTCCCCCACCGTTCCTCACCCGCTCCCCATCGCTGACTGGCCTTGCATGTCGTCCTTATTCCAGTGCCAGGTCCGCCTATCCTCTCCTTGCCTTTCCTTCTCTGTGCAGGCACCAGTTGCAATGGATTCATTCAAAGGCGGCTCCAAAGGCGCCACAGCAGCGGCGGAGAGGAGAGGAGGGGATCGCTGAGGCTCACTCCCCCTCCGCCATCCCCCTTCCCCTCCTCTGCTTCTCCGTCCCCTTTCCCCCATCACCCTCCTTCCCCCCGCTTTCCCCCCACTTTCCTCACGTCCCCCCATCCTCTCCCCCCCCCTTCCCCCCCCTCCTCCCCTTTCCTCCACCCTCTCCGCCAGGCGCAATGGATTCATTTAGAGGCGGGTCCAAAGGCGCAACAGCAGCAGTGGCAGCAGCGGCGGAGAGGAGAGGGTCGCTGAGGCAATGCAAGGCTCGCTCACTCTTCCCTCCTCCCTGTTCCCTCTCCCTCCTCCATGTTCCCCTTCCCTCCTCCCTGTTCCCCTTCCCTCCTCTGCTTCTCCGTCCCCTTTCCCCCATCACCCTCCTTCCTTCCACTTTCCCCCCACTTTCCCCCCACTTTCCTCACGTCCCCCCCTCCTCTCCCCCCCCCCCGTCCCCTTTCCTCCACCCTCTCCGCCAGGCGCAATGGATTCATTCAAAGGCGGGTCCAAAGGCGCGACGGCAGTGGCAGCAGCAGCGGAGAGGAGAGGGTCGCTGAGGCAACGCAAGGTGGCGGCTGATGTGGTGGCTGTGATGCTGGATGAGGGCACGCGGAAGTGAGTGAGTGAGTGATGTGTGTGTGATTGTACGGGACAGGAAACGAGTAAATGGCTGTTATTCAAACTGGCAACGCAAGGTGGCGGCAGATCTGGTGGCTCCGATGCTGGATGAAGGTGCAAGGAAACGAGTGAGTGGTTGATGTGCTAAGTGATTGAGAAGGTCAAGGAGCGAGGGAGTGATTCGTGGGACTGTGTTGCGGAAACGAGTGACTGAGCGCGTGCTGTTTAAAGTGAAACCAAGGGAGGCGAATCATGAAATTGCTCCAAAATTGCTCATAAGACTTGTCAAAAATGGTACAGGGAGTGAGGGGCGAGACTGGAACAAATGGAGTAGAGGGGAAGCGGAGAGACGAGACTCGCTTTCTCTGACATTTCTCTCTCTCGCTCACTTCGCTCTCAAACAGGCATCTCATTTGCCTTCCTTGTTGCGTTTCTCCGAGGCAGCAGCACGATTAGATTCTCCTGAGAGTGAATACCTCCTCTTTTTTTTTTCATGCATCCCTCCCTGTTGTGTTTCTCTCTGTCTCCAGTGTACCCACCCACCCACCCAGGCAGCAGCAGCTCAATTAGAGGCTCTGGAGAGTGATTATACCGGGGTGGATGCTGCTGTGGATGAGGATGATGAGATGATACTGGTACAACGTGTACCTTTCCTTTCTCTCACCTGTTCCCCACCCTCTCGCATGCACCCAGGCAGCAGCGGCGCGACTGGAGGCTCTAGAGAGTGACTACACCGGGGTGGATGCTGCTGTGGATGAGGATGATGACGTGTTCAATGCAGAGGAGGAACTGGTGCAAGAAGGTATGCTTATAGCGAGTAATGGACAATAAGGGCATGCTTATAGCGAGGGAAAAGGAGGTGTGCTGAATGGTCGACTCAGTCGGTGCATGGAAAGAAGGGGGTGTGGGACGTGTCTCATAACGAGGAAGCACAGCTTAGGGTACAAGTGGCAACTCACCCCCACCATGCTTCTCCCTCGCTTCCATGCCAGGAGGTGTTACGGGTCGCTACAATGCACAAAGGCACGCATAGTTTGTGGGGCACGAATGCTTGCTAGGGGCACGAATGCTTGCTAGGGGTACGAATGCTTGCTAGGGGTACGAATGCTTGCTAGGGGCACGAATGCTTGCTAGGGGCACGAATGCTTGCTAGGGGCACGAATGCTTGCTAGGGGCACGAATGCTTGCTAGGGGCACGAATGCTTGCTAGGGGCACGAATGCTTGCTAGGGGCACGAATGCTTGCTAGGGGCACGAATGCTTGCTAGGGGCACGAATGCTTGCTAGGGGCACGAATGCTTGCTAGGGGCACGAATGCTTGCTAGGGGCACGAATGCTTGCTAGGGGCACGAATGCTTGCTAGGGGCACGAATGCTTGCTAGGGGCACGAATGCTTGCTAGGGGCACGAATGCTTGCTAGGGGCACGAATGCTTGCTAGGGGCACGAATGCTTGCTAGGGGCACGAATGCTTGCTAGGGGCACGAATCACGATATGTTGCGGGAAGCCAACCTGACAACCCTCTGTCTGATGTGCTTGCCAGATATTACCGATTAAATAGTTAGGATGATGGAAGGTATCAGCAACAACCAGAGCTCCGGTTAAGGTGAGGCAAATCGATTTGACTTTTGTGTTTCGTGTTATTCATATTATCTAGACGCCCTCTCTAGTTTAACGACATTCTGTCGCTCTTCTTCCTTATTGTGCTCCTCATTTGTGTGTTTCCTTCCGTCCCCGTTTGATGCGTTCGCCCTTGCTATCTTCCCCTTTCGTTCCCGTCTTCCTTTAACTGCCCACCACGTTTGACTCTGGCCATCCGAGGCAAGAGGTGCACAAGGCAGGCTCTCTGAGAGTCAACTTTTGAGTCGACCCTTCAGTCAACTCTTGAGTCAACTCTTGAGTCAACTCTTGAGACAAATCTTGAGTCAACTCTTGAGTGCCCACCAGGCTTCGCACCAGCCAAGCGAGTGAGCCGTCCGGGCAAGAGGTGAACGAGGCAGTCATTCCCTTCCCTCCCATGCCTGTGCGGTCCATTCCTCGTACGCGCTCCTTGGAGTGCCCACCAGGCTTCGCACCAGCCAAGCGAGTGAGCCGTCCGGGCAAGAGGCGCACGAGACAGGCTGCTGCTGCCGTGGTGAGCAGAGCGAGCAAGCGAACTCCCAAGACGTTTGCAGAGCTGCTAGAAGAGGTAGGGCATGGGGTGGGTAGGATAGAGGGAGGGAGGGGAGGGGGAAGGAAGGGGTAACACATGGTTGGATAGGAAGTGGATGAGAGTTTGGTTGGTAAAATTTTTTTTTTCCCGAGTACTTTTTTGTTTTTTTTTTTTTTTTTATTCAAGGTTTTTCTGAGAATTTTCCAAAATTACGCATCGGTCGGGTGGGAAGTGGATGACAATTCGGTTGGTAGGTGACATTGACGGATGAAATAAGATGGGTTCTGAGACGTCTCAAAGCCAATCTTATTTCACGGGTAGGAAGTGGATGAGAGTTGGGTTTATACGTGGCAATGACAGAGCGAGCAAGCGAACGTTCAAGACGTTTTCTTGCAGAGCTGCTAGAGGAGGCAAGTCGTGGGGTTGGTAAGGGCGGGTAAAGAAGTATGGTGGGTAAGACCTGGGGCGGGTAAGACCTGGGGCAGGTGAGGCTGCTTGTGCTCACCCCTTCCATACCCCAAGCGCCATCCATAGTCGAGTCTAGAAGCCCTGTACTTACCCCTCGGACACACACCTCTTTCTTCCCACACCCCACCACCCTCTCTCCCCATCGGCGAGTCTAGAAGCCCTGCCACCAGGCACGCCCTCCTTACCTCACAGCAGCAGTGGAGCCCGGCTGCTGCCTCTGTGTATTGTTTGTGTGCTCACCCCTGCCATGCTTCTCCCTCACTTCCATGCCCACTCCTCACTCCCCACAGGCGAATCTAGAGACCCTGCCACCAGGCACGCCCTCCTACCTCACAGCAGCAGTGGGCCCTCCAACAGCCGCCTCAGTGCGCCGCTTCTGCTCTGCGTGTGGCAGCCACGCGCCCTACACATGCCCCCGCTGTGCCGCCCGCTTCTGCTGCATCAGCTGCCAAAGACTGCACAACGAAACCCGCTGCCTCAAGTTTGTCATGTAGTGATTTATGATCAGCTAGAATATTGATAAGCGTGTTGTGCTGTTTGGGGAATCTGTGTGAATCACTGCTGCTTTGCTGTGTCTAATTTCTTATTTGGAGGTGTCTCAAAACAGTTGTGTTGATTCGCTGTGTACAGAACAGTTAATGATTTGATTTGATCTGATTTTAACAGCTGTCTCGACTTGAAAGAGCTTCCACGTGAAGGAACTGCTGCTGCGGCCATGCTTGTTGTCACTCCAGCACCTGAAGATGGCAAAGCTAGTCCAGCAACCGAGCTTCAGTGATTCAGTGATTTCAATAAAGGGCCTACAGCAAACGGGCTCAATATATTTTGTTCATTTTCTTTTATATATATTTACACATGCTAGCATCCCAAATACATGTTAACATCCATTTTCTGTGCGTAAATTGACAACAAATGGTTATGGAGAGAAAAAGCAATGATTATATATCCTGAAAACATTACAGTTGAAATGTGCATGAATCGCAAACGCGAACCACAATGTGTGGTGAGTGCGAAGGTTTTCGCACTAGGTGTGCAATTATTGCTCGGCCGCACACCCCGCGTTACTTGTACATTATGATCCCCCCACTTACATTCGATCCCCACAACAAAACCTTGCACCAGTCCTGACCGCTGGAAAACTTCACTTACCCGCTGGTTTTCAATACCCCTCTCACAGAACCCAACCGCGCCAGGAAACCAACCAGCACTCACATGTTTCATAATTTCAATGTGCGTCACAAATACCAGAGCATTAGCAAACGTGGTGGCCAGTTCCCCAGCGATAGCGATAAGCGCCGCATTCGTCGGTACCATGAGGTCCAGCAATCGAACGAGGCGCTACGAGAGGCATCATGGGGCTGAAACGCCTCCTCTGATGTCGAGCCGCAATATTCCAGCAAAGTCTGCACTCGGCACTCACGCTAGCGTATTTAACGCTGAGGAAGTTGGAAACAACTCATTCACCGCTAGTAACAGCAGCTAAACAAATTCAGTACCAACCCCCTCAGCGGTTCTTTCCCATCTCAGAAGACTGCCATATCGAACTCTATCATGGGCGCGCTTCGTCATCGCTTTCTGCTCGCGCTCGTCCTCGTGGCGTCTCTAAACTTCCTCGCGGTTTTCGCGGCGCAGCCTCCGCCGGATGGGTACTACGGCGCGAGTGAGCCGGCGCTGGAAGAAGCATACGACCAGCGCGCGCTCCTGGAGGCCGAAAGCGATGCCTCGCTTGACTCCGTTGACTCCGTTGACTTGGAGGACTCGCGGGTGCTTCTCTCGATGGGGGATGCAGCGGCGGACTTGAAGCAGACGTCGGACGACCTCAGCGGCAGCGTGAAGAAAGCTGTCGGGCAGGCGGGGAGGAACGTGCGCAACTCGATCGGCTCCATGGTCGGAGTCCCGCCCAACAAGGGCACGAAGAAGCACCACCGCCGCGGCGGGAAGAAAACTGGGCGCCGCGGCGGGAAGAAAACTGGGCGCCGCGGCGGAAAGAAAACTGGGCTGGCGGGAACTCGTAAGCGCAAATCGGGCGCGGCAGCCCCCAAGACGTCCGCTGCGGGGGTTCCGAAGAAGCAGGGGGCGGGAGGTAAGCTCAACTCCGGCGCAACCCCCAAGAAGCCCGCTGCTGCCGCTGCTGGCGCGACGGGGGCTCCTAAGAAGCAGGAGGCGGGAGCTAAGGACACCTCGGGCGCAGCACCCGAGTCCCCCGCTGCTCCCGCTGCTGCAAACGAGCCGCGCGCGCTCCTCGAGGCGGCCGACAGTGATGCCGCGATTGACTCCGTTGACTCGGTTGACTTCGACTCCGTTGACTTGGAGGACTCGCGGGTGCTTCTCTCGATGGGGGATGCAGCGGCGGACTTGAAGCAGACGTCGGACGACCTCAGCGGCAGCGTGAAGAAAGCTGTCGGGCAGGCGGGGAGGAACGTGCGCAACTCGATCGGCTCCATGGTCGGAGTCCCGCCCAACAAGGGCAAGAAGAAGCACCACCGCCGCGGAGGGAAGAAAGCTGGGCGCCGCGGCGGGAAGAAAACTGGCCCCGCGGGAGCTCGTAAGCGCAACTCGGGCGCAGCAGCCCTGAAGACGGCCGCCGCTCCCGGCGCTGCTGGCGGGAAGGCGGTTTCGAAGAATCAGGCGGGAGGTAAGCTCAACTCTGGCGCGCATGCGCTGGGAGCAAAGGGCACCTCGGGCACAGCCCCCAAGCCCACCGCTGCCAGCAGTGCTGCGAGCAGTGCTGCCAGCAGTGCTGCACCCAGCATTTGATTCGAAAAGCAGCCAGCAAACGTGCAATGGAGGGTTGCAGGGCGGCAGGGTGGCTTGGTCCTTCTACACAGGGAGATGCGGCGAATGGCAACCGAATGACCCGGTCTAATGCATGGGGAAGGGGGGGCTCTAGAAGGCCGTGGCTTGTGATGTGGCGAGCTTGTGGCAGTGGTTCCGCTTGTGTGTGTCTGCGTGCTTGTTTCTCTTTGAAAACACCTTTGTGAGGGAGGCGTGGTGGGTAGGAAATAGAAGGCAAGAGATGGGCTGCAAGGATACGTAGAAGGGGTTAGGAAAGAAAATTGACGTTTCTGCTTTGCTTGTGCTTTCTTCGCATCTCAGGGTTGATGATGTATTGCATGTGGTGGTGGGCTGTCATGTAGTGCAATTTGTGGTTCAATTCCAATGTTTCAGATTTCTTTACCAACAAGGCTACTACAGTAGAGACGAGGCAACAAAATGTCCCATACCTAAATAGCTTAGCACTGGCTTTATCGGCCAGCTCCAATTTTGTCCTGATATTTTCAAACCAGCCGGTTGTTGCTGCTGCTCCATTGTCACATTATTCGCGTGAAGTTCAGCAATTGTTGGTTGGGTGGGTATGTGTTCGTTGGAGATATGAATATTTTTAAAAGTTGTAACGCTTTTCAAAATTTTGTATTTTGAAAGCGAAGCGGCTTGTAATGTAGCAATGGTCATCGGCGAACCGCGCTAAACGCCCGTTTTGGAGTACAAAACGTGGGCTGGAGGTCATTTCCCTCCACCCACGTCTTTCATTTTCAAACGGCTTAGCCTAGTTTCCCGCCCACCCACCCCGTAGAAATGGGACCAATTATGGATAGTTGATTGCTTAAGAATAATTGCATGCTAGCTTGGACATGTCTGTACGATGCCATTTGAAATGAGACGATGCCATTGCTACAACAAGACACTGCAGGCACCCTTCATGCGCAGATACACGATTCCCGTGGCCCTGGGGGGTGGATGGTTGGCAAGCAAGTGGGGGGTGGGGAGAGCAAACCACACAGGCTTAAATGAAACCGCACACAAGGCTCGGGCAGCCACTGTAGGCACCCTTCATGCGCAGATACACGATTCCCGTGGCCCTGGGGGGTGGATGGTTGGCAAGCAAGTGGGGGGTGGGGAGAGCAAACCACACAGGCTTAAATGAAACCGCACACAAGGCTCGGGCAGCCACTGCAGGCACCCTTCATGCGCAGATACACGATTCCTGTGGCCCTGGGGGGTGGATGGTTGGCAAGCAAGTGGGGGGTGGGGAGAGCAAACCACACAGGCTTAAATGAAACCGCACACAAGGCTCGGGCAGCCACTGTAGGCACCCTTCATGCGCAGATACACGATTTCCGTGGCCCTGGTGGGTCCGTGGCAGTGAGGGGAGGGGAGAGCGTAACACACAACAGGATGTGAGGGGTTATATGAAGGGCGACGCACAGGGCAGGGGAAGCCACTGCAGGCGCCCTTTCATGCGCAGGTACACGATTCCCGTGGCCCTGCAGGAATGGGTGGCAGTGAGGAGAGGGAGGGCACAACAATCAGAGCTGGATTAAGAAGGATGCCATGGCTTGAACAGCCCCTGCAAGCGCCTTTCATGCACAGATGCACGATTCCCGTGGCGTGGATGGTACGCAAGGTGACACGGGCGTGCGATCATGCTTGGTGAGGCATAAGAAAAAGGCCTGGGCAGGCACAGCAAGAGGGTGACGTGGCAAGGTGATGATGTGGCAAGAGGGTGACGTGGCAAGTGTTTGACATGGCAAGCGGGTGACGTGAAGCGCTCACTCGTCAAAGTCAACAAAGTCATTGTCCCCTCTGTCCTCCTGCAATGCCGGTCGACCTTTTAAGACATCTCAAAAGTCAACAATGTGAATCCAAGTCGGACTCACTCGTCAAAGTCAACCAAGTCAGACCCACTAGTCAAAGTCAACCAAGTCAGACTCACTCGTCAAAGTCAACAAAGTCAGACCCACTGGTCAAAGTCAACCAAGTCAGACTCACTCGTCAAAGTCAACAAAGTCAATGTCCCCTCCGTCCTCCTGCACTGCCGGTCGAATGCGCGTCTCCAGCAGCTCCCTTATCATCAGCACAGTCTCACTCTCATCCTGAGAGGGGTGGCAAAGGCGGGAGGGAAAATGCGCACATTCAAATGGGAAAAGAAAGGGCAACCAGAGGAGAGAAGCTACGAAGCATTCTCCAGCAGCTCCCTTATCATTAGCACCGTCTCACTCTCCTCCTGAAGGGGAAGCAGCGTTTGGGAGGGGTTGGCGAAGGGGGGAGAAGACACGGGGAGATTGGCTGGGAGCGGGTTGAAAGCGAGTCTCCAGCAACTCGCGTATCATCAACACCGTCTCACTCTCCTCCTGAGAGGGGTGGTCAATGGGGGCGGGGGAAACAGCAGGGGGAGGTGTGAGTTCAGCCCACGACTACTGTATCATCATCAGCACCATCTCACTCTCGATCTGAAGAAAGACAAGGGGGGAGGAGCCGAGTAAAGAAAGAACGAATTTCAGCTCTAGTAACCTCAGCACCGTTTCAGGTTGATGCACACCACCCCACCTCTACTCCTAACCATTGCCACCGCACCTCACCTCATCACACCACTTTCCCCCACTGCGCCTGTACTGATAAGCCATTCCCCCCACCCCACCTTTGCCCTTCATTCCTCTACCCCATCTCTGCCCCTCATTCCCCAACCCCTCTCCCCACTTCATCACTCACCCCACCCCACCTCTTTGGGTTGTTGCTCCCCACCCCACCTCTGTGGGTTGTTGATCCCCACCCCACCTCTGCAGCTACTGCTACCTGTGCCTGGGGGTTCAGCACCGCACCTATCCAACTCACCTCTCTACTCCTGCAATTTCCCACCCCACCTCTGTCTCACCTCACCTTCTCTACTCCTATCACTCCCCCCACCCCACCTCTGCCGGTTGTTGCTCCCCACTAGCTGCTGCTGCCTCTGCCTGGGGGTTCAGCACCGGCTGCCCAGAAGCAAAAAAGTCCATCAGGGCAGCAAAAATCTCTGGCATGAGGAGATCCCAGGAGCTCTCCTCCGTTTTAGTCCAGTCACAGAGTCATCCCCCAGGAACACCCGAGCCACACCTGCGAGATGGTGCAGGGATGGTGTGGAGGGATGGTGATGAAATGTTGGTTAAATGGAGAAGCACTAGTGGCAGTGGCAGTGGCAGTGGCAATGGCAGGTCAGGCGAAAAAGATAGTGCGGTTGGGTGCCGAAAAAGAGAAACCGCTTACCATCAATGGGAACAGTGCAATTGCAAGTGGAGATGCTAGGGCAGCTAGAGGAGGTAGGGCATGGAGTGGGTAGGATAGAGGGAGGGAGGGGAGCGGGAAGGAAGGGGATAACACATGGGTCGGATAGGAAGTGGATGAGACTTAGGTTGGTAGGGTTTTCGTGAGAATTCTCAAGGGTTTTTTTTTAGTATTCTCAAAATAACACATTTGTCGGGTGGGAAGTGCATGAGAGTTTGGTTTGTACGTGATTTTGATAGATGAAATCAGATTGGTTCTGAGACGTGTCAAAGCCAATCTTCTTTCACGTGTAGGAAGTGGATGAGAGTTTGGTTTATACGTGGCAATGACAGAGCGAGCAAGCGAACGTTCAAGAAGTTGTATTACAGAGCTGCTAGAGGAGGCAAGTCGTGGGGTTGGTAAGGGCGGGTAAAGAAGTATGGACGGTAAGACCTGGGGTGGTTGAGGCCGCTTGTGCTCACCCCTTCCATTCCCGAAGCGCCATCCATAGTCGAGTCTAGAAGCCCTGTACTTACCCCTCGGACACACACCTCTTTCTTCCACACCCCACCCTCTCTCCCCCACATGTGAGTTTAGAAGCCCCGCGACCAGGTACGCCCTCCTACCTCACCGCAGTGTCAAACTTATATGCTATAGTCTGTGTAGGCTGTAGTGGGGTAGCTCATATGGGGTACAACACTTTAGGGTTTCCTACTTGTACTCCTCATGCTGCTCAATGCAATCATTCCTTGTTCTTTCACATGGTATAGAGCAGGTTCCCTAGTGGGAATGTTTCCTAGGGCCCACCACTGATTTTTTTTTTTTCCTGCCCAGAGCGCGCTTCCCTCCTGCCCGAGTCGCGCCCCGTGTGCCCTCCCTCCCGTCGCGCCCCTAGCACTTAGCGGCCCGTCGCGCCCTCCTCAGGCCCCTCGCGGCCCCTTTCGCGGCCCCTCACGGCCCCTCTTACGGCCCCGTCGTCGCTGCTCTAGGCCCCGTCGCCGCCCCTCTAGGCCCGTCGCGGCCCCTTTGCGTCCCCGTTGCCACCTCTAGCGGCCTTGTCGCCGCCCCTCTAGGACCCTTGCGGCCCCTTCGCGGCCCCGTCGCTGCCCCTCTAGGCCCTTCGCGGCCCCTTCGCGGCCCCGTCGCCGCCTCTCTAGGCCCCGTCGCCGCTCCTCCAGGCCCCTCGCGGCCCCGTCGCCGATCCTTGCGGCCTCGTCGCCGCCCCCTCTAGGCCCCTTACGTCCCCTCTTCGACCCTGTCGCCGACCCTAGCGGCCCCGACGCCGCCCCTGGAGGCCCCGTCGCCACCCCCTCTGCTCAATATCGAGTAAGTTGTGTGTCCTTGCTTTCGCGCTGCATTTGTCAGGTCAAAGGTTGCTGACCTTTGACTTTCGCGTAAAATCCAACAGTTGTTTCAACCTCCGAGGGTTGACTCACTGATGCTTCGATATGCTCTGCTTTGCTTCTGACTTGGTGTTTCGACACGACAGATGCGTACTTTGATTATTTGTTCCCAACATATTCGACATGCGAACCTGTTGACATGAGTTCTACCTGACATCTAGTGCAATAAGCCCGGCGACACGACCGTCTATCTGCACCTACGTGGTAGCACCAACATCGCTGACGCGCTCCGGACCTCCGCCTCGACACATCCCAACCTCGGCGCTAGGCCCGTCGCGCACACTATTTCCCACACATTACCATTACCATTGTAATTTTTCTATATATTATTCGCTC